ATCAGGAGAAGAAGAAAATATACAATGCGCAATTGTGTGATCGATGTAGATAAAATTAGGTGATCGAGTATGAATCGAGTTGTATTTATGAATACTCAGAAATCTGGAAAACCAGGATATTGAAGGTTAAGTTTCTCATATCTATAACATGCAGTTTAAAATTTAAGCAAATTAGCAAGGGATTTTGCATCATTATTAGTATTACAATTCAAGTAAAAAGGCTATATTGTCGTGATGATAGAGGAAGATGCATTGAGTGGTTTTGAAGGTGCTTGTAAACAGTTTGAAATGATCTTCGTTTCTATAAGTGTATTCAATTGCAGTAAAAGAAAAAATTCAGAATCTTTTAATATTAGTAAACTTACCAAGAGCCCACCAATCTATTGCACTACTATGACCTTCACCTGTAATAATTTCCTGAAAAGTCACCAATGCAATGAATAAGTATAACTTACTGAGTAGTACCTAATTTGAGCTAATGTCAAACAAAGATCACTTTTGCTTACCTCTAATTTAAGTTCACTTCAATAGAAAATCTTGATTTTTCTTTTCAATCTTTATAGGATAGAATTGTAATTCAGAGTGCTATGATATGCTAATAAAGTGAAAAGAATCAGGAAAATATGGAAAAATGAAAATCACCATACCGGTGCAATATATTCTTCAGTTCCGACAAAGGAATTTGACTGAGTATTTGGTTCAGCGAAAAAAATAGGTGGTGGTTGCCTTTTTGATTTTCGGTTCTTTAACGGAGGTTGCTTTAACACCTGGAAGAATATTTTCACCAACACAAAAATGAAGTTTGAATTGCACCATACAATATAAAAGCTAAATTATAGTACCAAAACCCAGTATTTCTTGATTGCATAATGTGAGAGACAGTTAACAAATTGACCAATGGAATTGGAAAAAAAACAAAAAATACTGCTTCAGTGTAGAAAATCAGTGTTGATTCTTTGTTTTGTGAAGTAACTGGATGAAGTTGATTTTCTTAGTGCAATAGAACAAAACAATAAAGAAGCAGAAGCACATACTTGAGGTCTACAAGCTGTCTTAAACGATAGATCGAAGTCCGTTAACACAACATGTCCATCCTTTTGAAGAAGAATATTTTCTGGTTTCAAGTCCCGATAAATTATTCCTGTTATAGGTAACATAGGATGAGCAGATGAGTGAACTATACTTTAAACACTAAAAAGAACATGTTCCATGATATTCACTTCAACTAACAAGCTTTGTAAAAACCCCTGTAGAAAAGAACAACTTACAAATGAGTGTTATACACCGTTCGAAGTAGGATAAAGTTGAACTTGAACTCAACAGGGGTTTTAATTTGTGATTAGACTAAAATTAACAGGTAGCTTCTATAATTACAAGAATTACCTAAACAATGAAGATATTCAAGGCCAATGACAACTTCTGCTGCATAAAATCTGCAAGTTAATGATGAAACATTTTTTTGAAGGTCATATAAAACTTAACACATCAATTAATCTAACTATTAGACCACCAACTTTGCAGGAAGACTAAAAGTGACTACAAGTTTAACCAAATATACCTGGCTGAGTCCTCTCTAAACATTTTCAAAGGCTGTTTGTCGAGCAACGCAAATAACTCTCCTCCCGGACAGAAATCAGTTATCAAGCAAACATGTGTAGGTGTCTGGACACGGATAAATGCCACGTCAGAACATGGAAGGTATCGGGATAAACTAAAAGGGGGGTGATATAATTGATCTATTAGTAATCCCTTTTAGCAAACTGAAAATTTTGAGAAAAATCACGACACAATCTTCATCACAAAAACAACAACATTCAAAATTTCTTGATCAATATTTTCATGAGCACCATACTATTCCATAAATGTCAACAACAAGGAGCTGAATGAGTTTCAGAAAATGAGAACCTGAAAAGAGGCGTACAGCGAGGGAAGAAATGGATGATCCAAGAGAGAGATGATTTCTCTTTCAATACATGCCCGATGAACCTGCACAAATCCTCAGTTACTCAATCAAAGATGATTTTAAGACAACATTATCTTGCAAATTTATATAAATGAATAAAAGTAAAGAAACACATATTTGAATAACAAATGCTTGAAATAATTAAAAATCAAGAAAATGCCGTTATTACAGACCTTCTAAGAAAAACACACTTAAAAACTATTTTTAAGTAAAATGAAAGTGAGAAATATTGACGGATATACCTTGTTACGATTCAGCATCATGGATTTATCCATTGCCTTCATGGCGAACAGATGGCCACCACCAATTAGTTCAACCAAATGGACACTGCACAACACAATTATCTTATAGTTGAATTATCATTTTGAATAAGACGCATGAATCAAAAGATGAGTTCAGAAGGGCATCAATGTTTTTCGAAAATCTTCCACTTATTTCTAGATAATTTTCTCATTCCCGGTCAGTGATTCAAACGAATACCTGCCAGTATCTCCACATCCCAAGGGACGAATAGGTTTGAAGTGATTCAATCCAATCTTCTCACCTGTTTCAGTGATCTACAAAGGCATGGACAGAACTATAAGTATAAGACAAGTGCTATAACAGTATAAAATGGAAACAAAAACTAATAAATTGGCACGTGACCTTTTTTTTCTGAAAGGAACTGAATTCTGTTCTGTTCAAATTGAATTCGTGAACTATGCTTTTAGAAAATATGTCCGGCTACATCTTAAAATGAGGAAAAAAGTTAAAGAATCAGCAAAAGTTAAATACCTTTCTTATTGCTGCCCATGCAGTACCATCCCTCTTGTGAGGTCTAGGGAAAACAGGTTGAGAATGTAAAGCCCACAGGTCTTCAGGTCTCTGAAAATGACAAACGAGTTCAAGCCAAAAATGACTTCACAAGTTCACTGGAAGAGAGAAGTGTTTTGCAAACTATACATATAAGAATGATTCAACCTTCTACTCAGACAAATATGGGAACCAACCTTTTTTATTAGAGTTCCAGAATACTCTTTCATCAATATGAAAGTAGTTAAGTAGATACATAAGAAATTGAAAAAAGAGAGAAAGGAATACCTTACCAAGTTGGCATCAGGAAGTTCTCGAACAGCCTCATCAACATTTTCTGCTGTAGCTTTGACCTGTAGAGTATACATTTTCACTTATCACAGTTTTGAACTTCATTTTTGCATAGAAATATGGCAAGAAAAGAAAAGAAATGCAGCACTAGTTTACTAATGCCTAATGGGCTGAGTCCTAATATGGAGGATAACATATGAGATTCCACTTGATACTATATATGGTTTTTCCTGAGAAGTAACTTCGAAATCACAGAATCCGAGATTAAAAACATTTTTTATAAAAAAAAAAGGAAAAAAAAAAACTTACCAACTTCGCGCTCTGTTGCTCAGCTCTCTCCGAGAGTCTGTTCCTAAGTGGTTCGATATGATCACTTCCATCTAGTTGGACACCAATGAAGTATTGGAGTTCACCCTATAGATGCCAATGAATTTAAAGAAAAAAAACACATTATAAATAAAAGAAATTTGCTTAAGCATACATCATAAGAAGATTTAACATTTAATGTGCACCTTCTGATCACGCATAGGTTGCAAGTGAAATAAATTCCAGAATTTCTTCCCTGCGATTTGTCAATTCAATGAACAGGTGAGTTCAACTTCAGTAATTGAACAGAAAAAGTACTAGAAATCTTGTTGCGACTTGTATTTTAAGGATATCAAAATCCATAACATACCACTCTTTGTATAATTAATCAATTGAACTGTAATCTCTGTTTGCTCCCTGATGGCATCCCTTATTTTTGACACAGTTGATTGATCGGTTTCTGGCCCCTGAAGAAACCTGAAAATGTCTCAACTGATTAATAATAAGATTAATCTCAGCAAACGAACCAGTTCAACATGAAAAATGGATTCCATTAATTAGGAAAAAACATTGCCAAATACATAAGCCCGGATTTGAACACAGGCTTAAATGTCGACACATTATCAAACAATAAAAATTTGCAGATATCATCCCAACCTGCAATTTCTTCCCAAAATTTCTTCGCGTGTATATTCCGTTAGTTCGAGAAAGCTATCTGATGCAAATATCTGAAAATTAAGAATGGCATTATTATGGTTCATATGACTCACTAAGGAAACTTTTAGAATTTGAGTGATTTTAAGACAGAATGTACAAACTGTTAATAATGCATGAGTGATCTTACAATAGGGTTATCAGGGAGTCTAGGATCTGTTATCACAAAATTCTTCTCAATGCGTTCTAAAGTTGTTGCCAGGTCAAAGCCTTGGCGTATATCCCTCTCTCTTTCAGCTCGTTCCAAACTATCCGTACGTTGTACTTCATTCGTCATCAATATTTCTGGCTCAATAGCTTGTTGATTTCCATTGAAACCTGCACCAGTTGACGACCTTTTTGAGAACCTGCAGGGGAACATCATACGGTTTCACTGAAAAAATATAACCAAATATCACCATCCTACAAATAGATGCATGATTGCAATTTTGTCATTCTACACATAATATGAAGAATTTACCACAATGGATATTTGATAAACATATGAAAGCACTAAGCCTAAAACTAAGTTAGAAAGAGTTCCTCAAAAAGCTAGAAAGAGCAAATGTTGAAAGAGAAATGTGACTTTAAATGAAAGAATGTTGGAATTCGAAGAGAAAACAATCGGAAAATGGCGAAAAAATAAAATAAAAAAAAACGCAAGTTTACCCCATTAATGACATGGATCCGGCGGACTTTCTGCTTTTGTTGCTCGAGTCTTGACGAGAAACTGAACGAGTTAAGATACTTCTTGGGTCCAACTCAGAGGCTCGTCTCACGGGCATGTAATCCAAGTTCATCTTCTCGTATTCAGTTTTTGACTTGATATCATGACTATGAGACCTAATGTGGGACTTTGGATCCTTGAGGGTTTGTACAACCTCTATGATGGAACCTAAAGCCTTTTCCTTTTGACGAGCTAAAGCAAAAAATGAAATAATGTATCATTTTCTGAATGAAATCTGTAATTTTTCATGAACAAGATATAGATGCCAACTTTACCATCATAACGAATTAATGACTTGGGCAATCCATTTGGTCTTAATGCTTTATCATTCACTCCTTCTGTGTACTTGCTGACTTCGACCTGCATTCTGCCAAGAAAACATGGCATGTGCCAGACTGAGAGTAAGGAATTTTCAGCCACCTAAATTTTTTGGCAGAAATGAAGGACCACAAATTATGTGCACTCTGACAAAACCACAGCCAAATACAAAACAATGCATCTTGGCAATTTACAAATGTAATTTGATTCTGCCCAACACAAACATGAACAACTCAGAGGATGACAGGACATAGCAATAACTGATTTTCAACTTTGTGATCTTTTAGCTTACCTAGCTACATAACACAAGATAAATTTGGAGAGGTCGAACAAGATACTCGGAAAAGCACAACTAAAGTGGAGAGAGAGAGAGAGAGAGGCAGAGAGAGGTAGAGAGAGGGAGGGAGGGAGGGAGAGAGAGAGAGAGAGAGAGAGAGAGAGAGAGAGAGAGAGAGACTGAATGGCTCTAGTTATGACTTCAAGTCCTACGACTTCCCATGCATATACATTATCGAAAATCTAGTTACGAGTTAAAAAATGTAGTACCTATAAGAAACCATTTTCATTATCTCTCTGAAAGATTGACTAGTCCAAATAAAACTCAAAGCAAAACAAAATGGTAAATTTATTATACTGAATGGCTCTAGTTATGAGTTCGAGTTCCTACGACTTCCCATTCATTATACATTATCCAAAATCTAGTTTCCTCTAAGTGCAGTACATATAACAAAACCATTTTCATCACCTCTCTTAAAAATCGACTAGTCCAAATAAAACCCAACCCACAACAAAATGGTAAACTTATTATACCCAATAAATTTAATGGTTCTGCCTTTATCATCTTTGATAGGGGTGACAGTGAGAAGATTCCAGAAAGGCGTGCCATCCTTCTTATAGTTCAGTAGCCTCCCACAATAGCTTGTCCCAGTCCTCGTCGCTTTTCTTATTTTATCCACCTCATTCTGATCCGTATTCGGCCCCTGCAAGAAACGGCTGAAAACCGAAAACCAAAAACCAAAACAAAATAATCTCCATTCAGAAAAACACACACATATACCTTTCAAAACTAGGCAACTTACCAAAGAAACAATAAAGACAGAACAAGTTTTTCGTTTTTTTTTTTTCTTTTTTTGTTCTCACCAATTCTTCCCAATAACCTCCTTAGACGAATAACCCGTCATCGTGAAGAAGCCGCTGCTTGCATACACAATCGGGCAATCGGGCTTTGTTGCATCCGAGACTACGAATGTCTGTTGGAGTGTGGCTAATGCATCCTTAATCTCCTGAGACACTCTCGGCAAGTCATTCCGGCTGCTGCTCGACTCCTCGGATAATCTCGTGGACCCATCGCCAGAAAATCTCTCGAATGATGATTTCTTTTCGGTTATGGCATGGAAGCTCCCGCTTTCGACATCTGTACGGACCATGAGGCCCCACTCGGCAGTCCTCTCGACTATGCTTGCCTCGGAAGAAATCCCTTTTTGTTCGCCGTCTATCTTTGCTTTCTCTTTGTCAGAATCAGATACAAAGGCCATCCATTTGTTTCCAGCTGACTCCATTTTTCTATATTTATAACCAAATAAGCATCAAAGCAGCATCACTCTTGAACTTTCTGTCCAATGTTACAATAACCCATCAAACCTGATAGTATTTTCCGTACAGATCAAACGAAATCAAGGAAAAGGGCAAAAACCCAGAAGTCATACAGTAAACACAAACTGGTTCTGCGCCTCAATTTAAGCAAAATCAAGAAAAATTAGCAGCAGCAAAAACAAGAAATGCAGCAGAAGTATCATAGACTGGGCTAAGAACCCATAATTTTTATCTAAAAAAAATGGGAAAAAAGGGAAGAAAAAAGAACCTGGAAATGTAGGGGCACACAGAGAAGATAAGAGGAAAAATGGCGTACACAGAATATTAAGTAGGATTGGCAGTAGAGTTAAAGTCCAAAAGAAAAATACGTGGTCATCGTCAATCGTCTGCAACACATATGAGTGTGTGTGTGTGTGTGTGTGTCTCTGTGTTGTGTTGTGTTCGTACTGTGGTCACAAAATTATCTACTCAATGGCCATGGGAAAAGAATACAGTTTTGGCGCTCGCCATTAACATCAACTGCCAAGAAAACACTGGCGAGGACGAAACCACCCCTCTGCAACCCAAGAAAGAATATTAAAATAATATAAAATGGAAAAAGTAGCTATTCGTATATTTTGCAAGAAAGAATATTAAAATAATATAAAATGGAAAAAGTAGCTATTCGTATATATTTTGTAAGATGTTTTTACAGTATATATAATGATAAATATTTTATTTATATTCATGTAGACTGAGTTTACAATTACAAAATTCAATATTTTTACTTAATAATATTCCATAAGTTATTAAATAATTTATTTCTTATTATGTTTGTAAAATTAATGTATATTTATAGTTTAACTACGGTTTTATGTATTTTGTGTAGTTACTAGTTGTTTACATTCATTTTTATATTACATTGAAGTTGTAATATAAAAAAGTACGATTGGCCGATATTCACAAGAAAATTTATAAATCCAAATTACATACCATATATTTTTGAATGATCTGCGACTCTGTCATATTTTTTCCAATAAAAATTATACATTTATATTTCGTAATATCGTTTTTTTACTTAGCTTGATTTTGTTTAAGAAACCTTCTTGATTAAAATTATTTCATTTTTGTTAGGGGCACTTCAGTAAAATGAAACAATTTTCAGCCAATTTATTGACGGAATTGACAGTTATGAGCAAGTGAACTTCCACCATAGAAAAATATTGAAACATTTTCTTTTGTCTTTGTCCAACTTTATAATACACACTATGTTGATGGCGACAGTGGAGATATATTGAAGAAGTATGGACATGAATAAATATATTTCAATAATCAATCTACGAAACAAAGTATATATACTTATGAGGCTCTAAAATGAGGATGTTGGTATAGGTTGAGGATGATGTTTTTATTTGTCCCTTCATCACATTATTACTTATTTGAGGTGACATGATCAGGGGCGAAACCAGGAAATTAATTGAGAGGGGGCAAAAAGACATGACAAAAAATTTAGGGGTGCAAAAAATAATTTAAGAGGGGGCAAATTAAAATTTTTAATTATAATAGTAAAAAAAATTAAAATTTAAGGGGGGGCAATTGTATAATGTAGTTTCGCCCCTGGACATGATATGTATCGCAAATTTGTTTGAAATAATAAGCTCGCAAATTGACAAATAAGTTTTTTGAGAAGTAAGATTATGGTTTTATTTGGTGTTTTTCTTTTTATTGAATGAAATTTTTTGAGATAGGTAAAAATTGTTTGAGTTAGGGATTTGGATTTGAATTGAGATAGGTAAAAATTGATTGGGTTGAGATTGGGATTTGGATTTGAATTTGGGAGTGAATACGAGTTAAAATGTAATGATTAAAGTTGATATGATATAAAAATAGTGAAATAATGATTGTAAATGATTGGTAGTTAAAAATATATGAGTGAATGAATACTGATTTTTAGAGGAAATTGTGTAGTAATGATTGAATAATATTATTTAGATATATTCATAATATTGATGAGCATTAAGTTGGACTGGATTTTTAATACTTTTGAGTTAAAAATTTATATTAAGTCGTAGTTTTGTAAGGAAAAAAATTATTCGACAAAACAACTAAAGAAGTGAAAGCGTAAACGAATGAGAGAAATAAAGAGAAAACTCTCGATAATTTTGTTTCAATCAAAATTCAACTGCTTGAAAACAAGAGAATAAGGCTAATAAATAAAACTCCTAAAAGTCCTGCTAAATAACTTACCTAACCAGAAAATAAATAGGAAATAAATATTATACTACAAAAACTAGAATGTAAATGCTAGTAATAAAAGAAATAAATAATTAAATTAATTATGGTAAACGATCTTGCTGGACTAATAACATGAGTGCAATCTCGTCTCCATCAACAACTAATTTCTTTTGTTTTCAGTCGCACGTCTTCGAAGTAACTTTGTAAGATAAAAGGTTAATTTCAAAATAGCTAATATAGTAATTTTTTAGAATAAAATATTATAATTTTATTAATTATTATAAATTAAACAGCTAATTGTTTACTTAACATGTGTGCATACCAATCAATCTAATTGTCTAGTCATGCTAATTAAAACAAGTATTTTGAAAAAGGTCAATATAGTTTTTTTTTCTCAAATAGTGGATTACAATTGTAATTATTTTTGCATGTGTTGTTTGCTAAACTCTTATGTTTATCAACCAATTCAATTATCTGGTCAAAATTGTTAATTAAATTAATAATCAACTAATTGAATCTAACTATTCACCATAAGCAAAGTGCCAAATAGGGCTTATGCGTGATTTATTAATTATTATTCTTTTATTTTTATTTTTAAAAAAACAAAGTGTTAAATAGGGCTTATGCATGATTTATTTATTATTATTCTTTTATTTTTATTTTCAAAAGACTTTAGCAGCAATTAAAACGTAAGCTGTGTGCAATCCTCGTGTTGTGTTATTTTGATGTATAAGATAATCAATAATGCTAAGGAGCCAACAACTAATGAGACAGTTCCATATGGGGCTGTCCCACATTTGAGCCATGTGGGACAACCCCACATGGAGCTATTCCATTGGCTGTTGGCTCCGTAACGGAGCCAACAGTTGGCTCCTTAGCATTACTGATAAGATAATAGAGATAATAGAGCTAGTAGTGTCATTTATAACTCACTTTTCACATCTACTTAAAAAGAAATATGTTCATATTACAATTAGGTAGCCATGGCATTGTTGTCTAACAAAATAAGTTGGCTGTGTCATCTCGGCCCGTTTTTAGATTCGAGAGAGGAAAAAAAATTATACATGGCTTCTTCAATTCTTAGTTTAACTCTGCTGTAGTACAACTCGTTAATATCGAGAAACAAGCTCGACTCGAGATTATTTATCAACTTATTTAGTTAACAAGCTTGGCTCGATATAGGCTAACATGCTAACTTTATTTTCTTGTTGTGATATACATATAACTAGGGATGAATGTTCGTGAATAAAAGCTCATTCGAACTCATTCGTTTTTTACAAGAACTCTTCAGTTTTTCAATCGAGTCGAATTCAAACATAAAATTAAGCTCATTTAATAATGAATAATAATTTAGTCTAATTTTATTTTACTATTTTAAAAAATAAACATATTTTTATCTTACTTCATTATTTTAAATGAGTTTGAACAACAAAATTTTAAGTTAATCAAACACTCTTAAAAATTTTGTTCTCAAAATTTTTCGAGTTAATCAAACAATTTTAAGAAGTTTGTTTCTTAAATTTTTCAAACGAACTCAAACTTTACAAAGAACTAGACAAACAAACTCGAACACAAATTTACGCTAAAAAAATAAACGACCGAACATGAATAGCGTTTGAACATAAACAAACACGAACTCAAAATGCCCAAGTTCTTAGATCGTTCGGCTTGATTACAACACTACACCTAACAACCCACTACACGTAGCAATCCTTCTGATTTTGCACCTAAGCATTGTTTAGCAGTGGATAGCAACGCTTGGAGGCTAGCAATCAACGTGCCAGAACCGTGACTTTTGCTCCAATCTCTTTCTTTTGTTTTGTTTGTTTTGTTTTGAACCCCTTTTTATGTTTTTCTTACCATTGGTTCTCTTGAGTTTCATCTCTAGCCTACCCCAACTTACTTGGGACTAAAAGGCTATGTTGCTTCTGTTGTTATTGCATAGTTTTCGAGTTTGAAGTAGACTCGGGCACCTTGGACAAGAATAGAAGGCACCAATATGTTAGCTCCACTCACACCTTTGTTAGTTTGTATGATAATCTCACATTTTGCCCCAACCTTTAGTTGGGCTAAATTCTTCCTGAAGAAAAATTAAGACCATAACCGCAACAAAACACTCAAGGTGTTTGCAATTCACATTAGCTCGACTAATATCCTTCCATAGGAACTAAACTCATACCCACACTATAGTAAGTCGAAGAAACATAGTAGAGAGACAAGCGCACTTTTTTCACTTTTAAAACATTGAAGCCACTGCACATAATTGTGTAGACACAATCCACGAAATCAAGCACTATAACCACCGCTCGAAGGATTCCATTTAGTCGAGTCGCGCCCGTTACACGCAGCCATACAAGCTTCCTCCATTCTATCGAACGAAACCCCAGCATTGCAAATGTTAGCAAAGGCCCGCATGTGTTTCATACCGTATTGAGTCAACGAACCACAATGCGCCTCAAAAAGCCGAACCTGGCCAAACAAAACAAACCACCAAATACTCAAAAATTTGCAAGAAGAATATTTTTGCAATCAAAAGTTATGAAATGCTTTGATATAAGAAGTTTCGATTTTTATTTATTTATTTATTTATTTATTTTTGTGGTTTGGTATGATACTGGGTATGTTGGGAATATACTGAGTATTTATTTATTTATTTATTTATTTTGGTGGTTTGGTATGATACAGGGTATGTTGGGAATAGACTGAGTATGGGTATGTTGTTGTTGTTTGTGGTTTGGTATGATTATTTAAAAAAAAAATAGTATAAGTTAGTTGTTAATGAAAATTTGAGTTTAAATTAAAAAAAAAATAATTAAAACTAATTTGACGTCAAAGTATGAGATAGATGATGTGAAATGATGATTAGTTAAAATAGTGAATTAAAGCTGATATAATGTGTAAGAATGATTGAATGATATTATTTAATTATATTGATAATATTGAAAATAGTGAGGTTGAGTTAAAAAAAATAATTGGTTAAAAATCATTGATTTTTTTTTCTTTTATTTTTTTTGGAAAAATTTGCATCCATGCACTAAATCTTACCGTTGATTTCAAACAATCCCAATCATCTGTAATTGGCAAACCAGGGCCTCTCGTGGATTTGAGAACAGACGGGCCTCTTTCTGGACCGAATAAAACAAGGCCGATTATGACCATGCTGCCATCGAGATGTTCTCTGTGCAGAATCACATCTGTTATCTGCTTGAGAAGCTCTTCTTTGTCTTCTCCACTGTGCTCTAGTTTCTTGTACTGCAACCATAGGCTTGATTTGAGCTCAATCAATAAACTCGGAGCTAAAAAGTTCGAGGGGGAAAGTGAAAAAGGAAACATTAAACTACAGAATACGAAGAAAAAAGTTATCAGCATTCTCACCCTTTCCGACAGAANTTTTTTTTTTTTTTTTTTTTAATGTTTCCACACCTGCTGATATTGCTGCTCGACTGTTTCTCTTTGGAGGTTATGGGACTCGCTGCAGACAAGAAAACACGAGTTGGACATTGAAATGGGATAATACAGAACCTATAGCAATAGGTAAGTACTCAGTATTTCCATATACATTAAACCTCATGCCCACTGATCAAAATAATTGAATAAAAAAAAAATGATTGGTTTTGTCTGACTCTATTTAAGATTCTAACTAATAAATGATTATACTCGTCAAAATAACAATACACATTTGTGAAATGTAAAATAAGATCAGGCATACCTATCTTCCATCCAAGCAACACTATACAAATCGCCTAAGCACGTAATATACTCGGGAGGCGGTGAAGGACTCATCCCTGGACAGTATGTTCCCCAGCTACTCTCTTCTGCATTTGATGCTGTTGTCACATAGATGTTCAGATCATCAGGCATCATACCTTCAAATACACTTCCACTTTCACACGCCTCGACATATATAACCTACACAAGGCACACAGAAAGCACTCGGCACGTGAATTTTGGACAAATTTATCAAACTCAATTTCGAACAAATTTATGAACTCAATATTTTGTAAACACCTACTCACCATCTCTTTGTAGGTCCCCGAAGCATGTTTCTTTTTTAGAACATCGATGAAGTCTCTACCATAAAGGAAAGGCATATTTGGCATTCCTAAAAATAAATAAATAAATCATTCGAAATTCCCTCATTGGAGCTTTTCTCATCACCTATCACCGAGATCAGACGAAATATGCAAGAACAATGTTGTAGAAAACTGAAAATTCACAAGATGATGTTCGATTAGATTGAACTCACCAAGAACTCCTGGTCCACCATGGTCAGAATAGTATATAAATATCCTATCACCCGGCTTACTATTTATGACCTTTTTGCTTCCACCTTTCACGGCACTTTTGTCACCAAGGATAACAGCGTACAAGTTCTCTGTAGTGACTTGCTTGCCAGTGTAATCCTTGAAAAAAGAACCACGAGGATTAAATGAAACTAATGTATAAGGTAAAACTTAAGAGACCTGCTGACTAATTACTAGTTATAAACAGATAACAGTATCTGTATTGAATTTTCCAACTGTTCAAATTAGGTGTTACAACTAAACTAACAGTATCCACTAAAGTAAACAGATAATAGTATCCACTAAAATTAAGTGTTACCTTAGGAACGCCCGCATAGACATCCTCACCAGTTGGATGGTTGATTATAACTCCTTTTCTTGGATTCAGCTCATTCATTGCAATGTCGTCGTACATGAAAACTACGATGTTCTCATCTTTTAGACCTCCCCTTTTAAGTATTTGATAAGCATGGCAAACATCAGCCTATACAATCAAATCGTTTTATTGGTGCAGCTAAAATGAGGTGGTGTACATGTATTTTGGCAAAATAAAAAAGAAAGAACAGAAAATCATTCGATTTTGGAGAAACATTGAGCTTCCATATGGCTTTCATCATTTCCTTAATTAAATCAATATTAAAGGGAAAACACTCATATGTTTACTGCACAGCTCATTTTCCACATAAGCAAATCACAAATCGATATAAGCAACAACTTCAATCGTCGGCATAGACCTACAATGATCAAAATAAATTTTCCCCTTTTTGGACAATCAACAAGCTCAAATGTGCAAAATATCAAAACTAATATTGATTCTGAACACTTCACAAAATTCTTACATATCCATTATGATCAATTCATAACTTCCCAACAACAACCATAAAGAAAAGAAAACGAAAAACAACAAAGAACACATTCTTCATCAAGAACCAGCAAAAAATTGATACAGAAAAACAAGCCAACAGATTCACCTGATGCCGATAATTCCCATACCCGTTCGAACCCGCCACCAGCAACGCCCACCTGGTACCGTTCTCCTCCTCTTCACGGCCGCCCACCGGCCACCGGATAATGGGATCCCACGGTCTCAGCCGCCTACCACCTGCGGCTGCAATTTGCGCCGCCGCCGCTGCCGCCACAATCAGCACCAGAATCGCAAAATGGGAGGAGGCCATTATGAGAAAACGCGCAAAGCGATAGGCGTTAGAGCGAGTAATTGTTGTTTACTCGGGACTCGTTGCCGGTGAAGGTTTATAAATTACAGGGTGCCGGCAGCCATGCAAATTAGGGGATCGACACCTGTGCGGGTGGTGTGGCGGTGGTGGGCCCATAGCTGGAGAGCGATCAACAGGTGGAAATCAATGCATTTGAAAATCATTCTTCCCTTTCACTTTATGTGTTTACCAATTACCAGCTGAGTTTATTTCAGCTCTCTCACTATTTTACCACTCAAAGTGAGAACTTTTATCCTGAGGGGCTTGTTTGTTTGACATAATAAGATTGGATAGGGGTACTTTTTTTTTTTTTCCAACAATAAACAAGCCATAAAATAAAACTCGGAATCAAAGTCATTACAACGCGCACTCAAATGAGCACAAGCACAATAGCAACCCACACAAATGGACTAACCATTAGCCACGAGAAACCTACACTAGGTCCTCTTACAAGCCTTCAAGGCCAAATCTAAAGAAGAAATGCAAGCAAACTTGTCAAAAAGAAAATTACAAATGGTGAAATGTTTTGTAGTATTATTTATATCTTCCACAATAGCAAGAACTCTCCCTTGTGCAGCAGTATTCTGATGTAAAATCTGAGCAATGTGGAATGAATCAACTCTGCAGCAAATGGAAGAGGAATATCCAGTTTCATGCAGCAACTTCAGTCCCCATCTTACAGCCATAAGAGTAGCTTCAACACTGTCTCCAGCTCTGTCATTGCATTCTTGCCAATTGTAGAGTATCCTTCCTTCAGTCTCCACTACACCACCAAATGCAACAGCTCCATCAGGTAGCAGGCAGGCACTGACAGTTAATAGGAACTGTCCTACCCCTCTATCTGATACATTCAAATGATCCAAATTGTCACCAGTAGTTCTGTGTATCCTTCTCAGCAATGCCACTGAAGAACTCTCAAATTCACTCCATTCTCTTCTTGCCCCATCAACAATGTCTTTCTCAGAGATGCTCTTCTTTTCAAAAATCCAGCTATTCCTTGTTCTCCATAACCACCATAACAGGTAAGTTGAGAGATTGACTCTATCCTCAATGCACTTCTCTGTCCTACTAGAGCATAAGTCTACCCACCAATCCTTAAACACAATCTTATCCCTATCAAAATGCATCCAACTTAACCCACTAAGCTTCCAGCAAGTCACAGCTCTTTTACAATTAAATAGGATATGCTCTAAGTCTTCTACCCCTTCCCCACACACCTTACAGATGCAATCAATTTGAATTTTTCTATGAAACAGATGAGTATTAACACTAAGAAACCCATACCAGCATCTCCAAATAAAGTTCTTGATCTTACATTTCACTGGCAGCTTCCATGTCTTTCTCCACATTGCTTGCATTATTCTTGGGTCTGCACTGGAGCTGGCCATTCCCTGAGACTGTCTATGTTGCTCAAGCAGTACTTTGTAGACTTCTTTTACACAGAACAATCCTTTAGGGTGCCAGTGCCAGATTAACCTGTCATGAGCATCTGCATGGCTGATAGGAATATTTAAGATAAGTGCAGCTTCTTCAGGGCAGAAGGTTTGACTCACTAGCTCCTCATCCCACTCAATTTTATTACTCTTGAACAGCTCACAAACTTTTTTGAATCTCATCTTATCACTAGCAAACTGAACAGTAGGGCAGAATTTAGAAGGATGAGGAACCCAAGGAGACTCCCACACATCTATAGACTTACCATTACCAACCACATATCTCAGCCCCAATTTTAGAGATTTTCTAGCATGGAGCCAACTCTTCCAAAGCCAAGAGTCAGAGCTTCTAGCAGACACCTCAAAGATTTTCTTGTTCCAGAAATATTTACCCTTCAATAATCTACTCACAAGCAAATTAGGTTTAGTAATGATCCTCCACAGTTGTTTAGTCAGTAGAGTTTCATTAAAAACCTTAAAATTCCTAAACCCCATACCACCAGACTCTTTAGACCTAGATAACACATCCCACCCACACCAATGAATTTTTTGCTGCTTTTTCTCAGAAGAACCAGAGCCCCACCAAAATTTAGCAATTTCCCTGCAAATATTGTGACAGACAGATACAGGGAGCCTAAAACAAGACATCACATAAGTAGGCAAGGCTTCTAGAACTGATTTAATAAGAGTTTCTCTCCCAGCCTCACTCAAAAACTGGTTTTTCCAATTATTCACTCTACTCACAACATATTCTGTGACAAATTTGAATGTTTCCTTTTTAGATCTACCAATACCTAAGGGAAGCCCCAAGTATTTGGAAGATTTAACTCTAGAGATCCCATTCAACACATAGCAGATATCAGACTGAAGCTCATCAGAAGCATTTTTGGAAAAAAGAACAGAAGATTTATCCAAGTTGACCAACTGGCCAGAAGCATCCCCATACTTTCTAAGAATATCAAGAATAAGATTAGCATGATAACAATCAGCTTTACAAAACACAATAGAGTCATCAGCAAAGAAAAGGTGGGACACAACAGGGGCAAATTTACCAATTTTAACACCAGAAAACAATCTCAGGTTGCAGGCTTGTTTGATTAGGTTAGACAAAGCTTCAGACATAAGTACAAAAAGGTAAGGAGACAAGGGATCACCTTGTCTCAGACCTCTTGTAGGCACAACATAGCCTAGCACAGAACCTTGAACATTAAAAGCAAAAGACGAGGAACAAACACAAGCAAGGATCCATGAAATGAAGGAGTCACAGAAACCCATTTTTTTAAGAACCTTAGCTAAGAAATTCCATTCAACTCGGTCATAAGCTTTTGCCATATCAAGTTTAATAGCCATAAATTTATCTCTGCCAGATCTTTTGCTATTCAAGAAATGCAAACACTCATTAGCAATCACAACATTGTCTATTATTTGCCTACCAGGAATGAATGCAGACTGAGCATGGTCAATGCAGTGATGCAAAACAATTTTCAGCCTGTTAGCAATGATTTTGGCAATGATTCTATAAATAACAGTACATAAACTGATAGGCCTATGATCAGAAACAAATTGGGAGTTTTTCTTTTTGGGAATAAGGGTAATGACTGTATGATTCAAATGTTTGGGCATTTTACCTTTCTGGAAAAAGTTTTTAACAGCATCACACAGCTCAGTTTTTATAGAGGGCCAAGAGGTTTGGAAAAAAGCAGGAGACATCCCATCATACCCAGGAGCTTTGTGTTGGTCCATATCCCAAAGAGCAGTTTTAATCTCACTCTCACTAACCTCTCTGGTTAATGTCTTATTCATATCCTCAGTTATAGAAACAGGGATACCTGAAAGATCACAATGGTCAACCAGAGGATTAGAAGTTTTAAATAAGCAATCAAAATATCTACTCAACTCTTCCACAGTATCCTGCTTCCCCACACACCTACTCCCATCAGATCTAACTAAGTTCTGCAAGCTATTTAAAGATCTTCTCTGTCTAACACTAGCTTGGAAAAACCTAGTGTTTCTATCCCCCTCTTTCAACCAGCTCACCCTAGCTTTCTGCTGCCAAAACTCTTCTTCCATTTTGTAAGCTAGATGAAGTTTATCCCTATAAAAAGCCCATTCATCCCAATCCCTGAGACCACCCAAATTATCCATTCTATCAAGCTCCCCCTTACAGCTGTTAATGATGTTCAGGGCATTGGACTTTTTACTCTCCTTCCAGATCAACAAAGCTTTCTTCACATTCTTGATTCTACCCCCCATCCCATAGAGAGCTGGCCCTTCCACAGGAGCAGTCCAAGCATCTTTAACCACTTTAGAAAATCCCTCCATTTTAGCCCATCTTGAGTCAAAGAAAAATCTCTTTCTATTGGACTCCACAGTACAATTAGACTCCAAAACAAGCATATTGTGATCAGAGGATGCCATAGAAATATTGAGAACTCTAGAGTTGGGATTATTCAATAACCAATGGGGGGAAACTAGAAACCTGTCCAGCTTGACTTGAATGAAGTCAATACCCTTTCTCATATTAGACCAAGTGAATTTAGATCCAGATACAACAGGTTCCACTCCCCCAATATTACTGATAAAGTCTCTAAACCCTCTGAAACTACCCTCCTCTCTACAACTGCCCCCTTGTTTTTCATGATTATCAACAATATCATTAAGATCCCCCCCTAAAAACCAAGAATTCCCCCATCTCAAACTATGTCTAATGAGAGAGTACCATTGTTGTTGTCTAATCCCCAAGATGGAATTAGCATAGACAAAAATACCCCAGGTACTTTCTTCAAAACCATCCAACAGAAACTTAACTTCAAACCCAAAGTCAAAACAATTAAAATCCAAGACCTCAACCTTCTGGGACCAACAGAGGAATAATCCACCACTAGTCCCACAGGGTTTACTATAAAACCACCTATCCTCTAACTTAAGTTTTCTACACACAGCAGTGACAAATTTTTCTTTTTTTTTTACTTCTGAAAGAAAAACAAAATCTGGGGAGTGAACTCTAAGGGACTCTTTTAACTGGGAAATTGTAGAGGGTCCCCCCAAACCTCTACAATTCCACACACATACCTTCATTTAAAACTTTGGGACCAGTTAGGGCTGGTTGCCTCCACCACAGAATTAGTATTTTGAAGATCCAATTTGATTCTTTTGTTAGACTTGGATAAATTCAGATCTTCTTGATTTTCCAAGCCTTCTCTTATGATCAAAGATCTTTTAGAATTCAGCAAAGGAGAAATTTTAAGATCCACAGCCATTTTTTCAGAAGCAGGTTCTTTCCCCAATTTTGATTTTCTTTTAAAAGCCTTTTGTTTTCTCTGCAAAACCCTAGCCCCAATAGAACTTTGTTGGACAGCAATATCCACCAGTTCAGAAGGTATAAGTCTAGACTCCTCTGGTATAGTTTTCAGAGATTGGAAACTATTAGAGTTCTTGCCCCCAATAGGGTCAAGGCTACTCTCATCCATGGAACTCCCTCCTAATTCATTATTAGGTTCAGGTTGTTTGGCCATGTTAACCAGAGCAAGGAACTCTTCGTTCCTCTTATCTTTTATGCCACTACCTTCCTGCCCCGCAGAGATATCTCTCTCATCATTCTTATCAAAAGACCTACTACCAGAGTTAGGACTATTAAAAGATTTAGACCCATTCAAATTAACAGGACTAACCCGCAACCACTCCCCATACTGCCCTAGATTCACAGCATTCCTAAGGACATCCTCTTTTTTAAAGTCACAGTTTCTATCACTGTGCCCTAAACGACCACAATAAAAGCAGAAGCTTTGGAGACTTTCGTACCTGAAATCCACCCACTTTGATTCGGCTCCAAGTTTTATTTTGCTGCCTCTGAGGAGCGGTCCCCTTATTTGCATCTCCACCAACACTTTGAGGATATTACCCTGATGACTGGAAGCACCTGGCACTTGCACATCCAGCGGCTTGCCTATCAATCTCCCTACCTTTAGACCAGTCTCCGCGCCAATCCAATGGAGCGGCATGTTATGGATTTGCACCCATATTTTGATATGCTCCTCTGCTTCCCTAAATATTGTCTCCCCTGGAGCCCATCTTTTCAGAAGTATATATTGGCCGTCGAAGCTCCAAGTCTTTCCAGTAAAGATCTTGTCTCTGTCTTCCGCACATTGGAACAGAAATTGGAAAACATTGTCTCCCAAGCTTTTAATAGTGAACGGGTGCTTCGTCAACCATATGGACCCTAACGTAGTCTTGAGACCGTAAAAGTTCGCCTTTTTCTCGCCATATACTTTACCCAGAAGACTAAGTTGGCATTCGTTCACCGTCGGGGCCACATCTCCATCTTGCAACTCAATTCCTTCCTCCTCCTTATCTAAGAGAGCAAATTTTCGAAACGCCTCTGACAGCTCTTGGTCCATCCTAAAAGAGAAACCCACCCCACAACCCCCAACAACCACCCCTACCGAAAAGCAAAAAACCCCAACCCCACAAACCCTAACCCTACCCTCAACCCCCAACCCCAACAAGACAAGGCTCACACGCTCCTAGGGAATCCGGAATAGGTATAGGTGGGATGGTAAGGATAAACAATGACATGAAAAGAAACTAGACTTAGCATAGATCTGGCAGATCCAATTATGACATAAAAACTAGAAATGCAAGAGATGCAGACATAGTTAAACAGACACACACACAGCACAAATGAACTAGAAGAAAGCAAAAGATACACTAGATCGACGGAAGCATAAAAGAGAATCAAAGGGAAAGCACGATTCAACAAGCAAACAAGCAGACTCCAACTAGTGGAACGGGACTCTAGAAAGAGAAAATATTCCAAGAAGGAAACTCAAAAAATCCTCTTGTCGAAAGAGTTGCAGCATTTTTATATTAAATTTACATTAAACTTTACTAATGTTTCCATTAATTTTGTTTCACCACCAAAACACTCAAATAAATCTTGCACGGTTATTGTTGATGTATGAAAATGTCAACAACAATAAACGAACCGTACACTAGATTGTGCACTCTGTTCGATCTGCATAAATAGAAGTATTGTGGGATATTGGATATATATATATATATATATATATATATATATATATATAAGTCACGTATAGAGAACTTATTCGGTCCATATATTATATCATTAATGAGAAGAATATTCTCTTACATAATGTTGTCTCTCTTTTCTTTTATAGGAAAATTGAGGTCTTATTACAATCTTCTTTGGGATTTTTATTTACATTTTACTATTAGAGATATTCCCAAGATATTATTGCAAATCAACATTAAATGCCTTGTACTATATCAATCTTAATCTCGAGGCGAACGATAATCCCAGCCCACGACACGTGTTCTAGTTGATCTTGCACCGTGGGATCACGATCTCCTATGTCTCATCACCATTAATGGATATCATACGGGTAATCTAATGGAATGATTGACACTAATCGAACATCCATTCGTATGTGTTTATCCAAACCCATCGTGATGACCCGCATTCACCCCATATGGCATTTGTCCCGTGTGATCGATCCGTCCCTTCTTTCCAATCTCTAACGAGTACGAACCCGAACATACTGTCTTCGATTTAGTTCGAATTTCAGTTATTCGGTTAATACCCCGTATAGAGGCCCCCAGGTTCAGGCGATACGGACGGAGTTGACCTCGGACGTATTGTTCGAAACTGACTTTTCAAATGGAATTGGAACAAACCGCTCTATGTGCGTTGGATGTTCGGTTGGTACCGTGTGCTAAAAACTCGATTGACTTTGTGCAGGCACCGTTTCATGAAAAGATGCGTCCCCTTAATGGCGCTGACAAACCGTTATTATTCATTATGACGTGTCATAAATTTGAGAGCTGAGGGCATTTATGGCATATGCGAAATGCTACATATCCTAACACCATTTAAATTCAAATCATCACACCTCTACAATGCGAGATTAGTGATCTATAAATAGCAAATTTTTGGCCCCAAAATTTTTCTCACTCTCGTATCAACTTCTCCGAAAATTCTTTGCAATACGAAGTTCGAGCAGCCCTCCTGTCCGTATTTGCTTGATTCCAATTTCGGTAAGACTCTTTTTTCTCCCTCACCTTTTATTTAAGATTTATTGTTCCCTTCGATTATGTCTAGTTCTTTGGAGCGCTACAACGATGAACATTATCAAGAACCCTTGCAAGGTGGCACAACCGGTCAGGAAAGGCTTTCCCTTCCCAAGGAGAATCAAGGCACTGACTTGCCCCTCGAGCAATCGATTGTAGATGTGCCGGTCAGCTTTTGGCGTAGGTCGTATAGAGAGTGGCCGACTCAGCATCTCTTCGAGCTAGGACAAGTCCCAAGCGACATGACCGACGGAAAAGTGGTAAAGTTACGGACCTATGTCCGTACACCAAGGGATTTCCGCATGTTTGCCCCGTACCGACAAGAGCAAATTCATTGCCCGCCTCTCGGGTATGTCGGGGTTTTCGAGTGACTTGTTGCATTCGCCTTACGTTTTTCGCTTCCGAGAATTTTGTCCGAGTACCTCCGGGACTGGGGACTCAGTTTCAGCCAAGTGTCCCCCATCGTCTGGCTGAAAATAATAATCTTACTTGTACTTTCTGATTAGTTTGGGAGTTTGGGAGCCTGGGGTAGTTATCTGGTTAGGGCTTGGATTAGTAGGAAGATAGTCTTGGGCTTTCAACCAGTCCCCAAATAATCCTTCATTTATCTTCCCATTCACTATCTCTGCAAATCTTGTAACACAATTATGTCAAGATGTCCTAACATACCACAGTAATAACAGAGACTCACAAGCTTTTCATATTTAAATTCCACCAGAATTTTCCTATTTTGAAGCATGAGCGAGGCATATCTCAGAAGAAGTTGGTCTAAATATATTGTAACAAGCATCCAAATGCATTTACCTGCCAACCAACCACAGTGGGGGATTGAGACATCTATAACCTTTTTGAAGACCCTTCCTATTTTAACTCCCACTTCTGAAGAACACCAGTCTAGAGGTAAGTTACAAGCCTGTACCCAGATATTAAGTTCCTTGAAGATTGGATGCTCAGCATGAAGATCCTCTTGCCAATCTTTTAGCACTAAGAACTGATTCTCAAAGGTCCAAGCTGTACCTTTGCTAACCTTTATTTTGTCCTCAATGCATGTGAAAACAAATTGAAAGTAGTTTGTGCTGAGTTCATGGATGGTCACAAATGACCTAATCTACCAAATAATCCCAATTGCTCGCCTGAGACATGGGAGTTGGGCTTTCTTTTGGCTATGGATTTTCCAAAAATGGCTCCTTTTACATTCTTCCGAACTTTTGTGAATATCTTCTATGTCAAGGGCTATAATATTCACTTCCTTTTCTGAGAGTTGGACTGATTCCAATTTCTGAGCAATTTATTCCTCCATTAATAGAATACTGAGAGACTGACACCGAGGATGGTGAAGAAAGCACGGAGCCACTGCAACCTGAAAAACAAACACACAACACAGCTAGGTACGACAAAAGAGGAATGAAAATAACGAAACTAGAGAGGACGAAGGGAAAATTAGAAACTAGCAAACAGAAAGGTGGACACCAAGAGAATACTCTCTACTAGAACAACGGCCGTCAACAGTGACACTTAGACTTCTCAGACGAGGGAATCGGGGCTCTCATGGCGAGAGGAATTCCCTTCTCCCCCCTACCCTTATTTTTTTTAAATCAGTGAATCATGTGTGGATCCAAAACCAAAAGTTCCAATGTAATCTCAAAAAACCGAGACACCATCATGCCAATAGATATGAATCCATAACACTAAATTCATTTATCAATTTACATAAGCATTCGACACATCAGGTTGAATGTAATCTTGATCCATTTAAACATCGATTCATGAATAAATAACATAAAGCATGTACTCTGGATCTATAAATCAATTATATTGAGTAAACAGCATAACTCAATCTCAAAACACAATAATTGAATATTTTAGAGAAACCACAAACGAGATGATCAATTCAATATAGATTAATCTAGATCTGGCAATCGATGACTATGCTGATACCACTTGTAAGAATTTATCATCACATAATAAAAATTCAATAAGAATTATCTTAGAACATGCTTCAATTATAAGAAAAACAACATCGCTTTAAATCTGAAAAGTTATTATAAATACTTAGATCCATTGAGTTTCTTTTGTGGAACACAAACTCGATCGATTAATTGGATTAACTGGTATTATGGCATTCCTCAACTAAATTGCCTTATTCCTTTGGATGGGACCGTCGTTTTCAATTCCGATGGAGAAAAAAGAAAAATGTTTGATTTAATGTGTTGAGGACCATAATCAATAGGTTCTTTATACACTACAACGGTAGGTCACCCACTACCACCTACCCTTAACACTATTAGGTATCCACTCAATTAGCTCATATCAATTGTGTAGCCTAATAGACCCTAATTTATTTAGATCACTTAATTGAGTCTATTAATTAAATTGACTAGTTAATATAATTGTAAATAATATGTTAGAACATAATTAAATTCTACATAAGAAATTAAATATTTTCTAACATACAAATCCTGCTTACTAATTAATTTACATTTTGCATATCTTTGTTAAAAAATGTTCAAAGGCAATTTTTCATCAAAATTCAAAATCTTTCTTATTTTATTGAATGTTTTTGTTTACTTCGGGTTCTTTCTTGATTTCATTTTGGATAAAACTGAAGTCAATTATCAGTATTTCTCTTCGTTGTTGCTTAACGGTCCACCTGTGTTTGGTCTACCATGCATCATCGGGAGCTGCGCGGCTACTTGTTATATTAGAGAGAAAATCAAGTCTTTATTGAGAGGACGAGGAGAGAGGAATTTGAAGAAGATCAAATGATGATAATGAATGGTAATTATTATGGTCACAATCATAAAACATGTTGTACGACTACGATTATAAGCATGCAATGATCATGCACAATAAGTTACTATATTATTGTACTGAATTTTGAAATCTAACAATTTAGGCATGCTTGTTTATAAATATTTTTGGTTTGAATTGATTTTTTAGGTCAATAAAGTTAACTTTAAAACATTGATTGAGTTACGTTTGAGTGATATTATGATTTTATATTAAAATAATATTTTAAATAAAATAATTAATATTGATTGGATGTAGAAGTAAGAGAGAAGTGATTGAAAGTGATGAGTAGTTAAAATTATGTGAGTGAATGAATAGTAAATGTGATGTGTATGGATGATTGCTTGATATTATTTGATTGATTGATTATTATTTAATTATGTTTATATTACATTACATTATAATATTAAATTCATTAGATACTTCATTAAATTTAATTTCTCCAACAATTGTTATTGACATATTCTAGTGCTACTTTTCCGGACGACGGCCATCGCTCTACTTTTTGAACATCACCATACATCAGTAAATGCCATCGGCACAGATAATCAGACACTACTTTGACTAAATCAAATATTGTGGTCCCCACTCCGTGGAAAAGAAGCAGAGAAACATGGCAACGCGCGCTCAGCCACTTAACGAACACGCGCCGCGACTAATTGACGAAATATCTGCGAGGAAAAGAGGATATAGCGATGTTAAAGAACGACGTTGTTTAATGTGTAGCCACTCACTCACCGACTCACGCCTTTTGCTTCTACTTTATGAACACTGCATCTGAGCCACCATCAATAAATTGGAAAAATATGGAAAAGCCAAAGCACACAACTCACCGAACAATAATGGAGTAAAGGAGGAGAGAGAAAAGACAGCAGAAAAAAGAATTATTTTTGAAAGATTGCTGTTTTACCCTTTTTTCTTAGACAGAGAATATTGTAGAGGGAGAAAGACCTAGCTAGGGGTGAAGAATCTCCACGAAAGGGGGATTTTGATGGAGCAGATCGTGAAGAGGAAGAAGAAAGGAAGGCCGCCTAAAGCAGATCCGCCGCCGCCGCCGCCGCAGCAGCAGCCGGAGAACGACCTCAGGCGCAGCCTTCGCCGCCGGAATGTGAAGTACGTCTTCGACCTCGACGATTACTTCGACGAGGACGACCTCTTCACCGACGACGAGAACCGGAGCCGGAGGGAGAAGAAGCTGGAGCAACTGCTCAAGCTCCAGTCCGGGGGAGAGTCCGAATCAACCGCTCCGCAGAGGACCCGCTTCCGGCGTGTATACCACGCGCCCGCCGCGTCAGCATCCTCCTCGGATGACGACGACAAACCCTCCAAAAAACGGAGAATTAACGGATACCTGGACAGGGATTCAGATGATGATAACGATTACACTAATGATGAAGATAATTGCAATGGGGAGGAAGAGGAGGAAGATGACGAAGAAGAAGAAGCAGAGGTAAAGGTAAATTTCCGATTTTTTCGGTGTGGGCGTTGGGGCCACTTGAATTGGGGCATTGAATTGGCAGTATTGGGGATTGAATATTGGAATGAATTGCATAAATTTATGCTTCCCTTTTTTTGAATTCATGATCTTTCAATAAAGCTGTAGTTTGAACTGAATTTTTTCATACTGATTGGTTATAGTGTGTGAGAGTAAGTTTGTTGGTGTCTACGTATATGCAATGGTCGGGGCAACTCTTAAGGGGGCAATGGGAATAGGAAACACAAACTAAGTCCAGAGAATATGAGCACACTTCAATCTTTGTCCCTTTCTCTCTCTACAACCACGATGTACTGTGTTACAGACAAACGTGTGCATTGTTGTATTGCACGCACACTCACGTTACCCACTCACATCACACATGTTGTCAGTTGCTTCCTGCGCCGACTTTTTAGTTGTCCTTAATAACCTAGATAAGGAGTTTCGAGTAGCATTTATTAGTTCAACACTTTTTGGGTTTTTATCATTTTTTTTAATGGGTGGATTTGGAGTCTTAATGCTTTTGCTGATTATGACAGATTAGAGCAAGAAAGCGGGATCCCCAAGCAGAGGAATCATCACCTCCAGGTAGGANCTCATGGCTTTGGAATTAGTGTGGGTACTAGAACTCTGATTTTATTTTCTTTTATTTTTTTCGTTTCTAAAATTTCAGCTGAGTTTGTGTCATTGAATGTTATAGGGACACCAGCCGAGAGACCATCTGGGCTCCCTCTGCCTGATAAGAGGGCCTTGGAGTTAATATTGGACAAGCTTCAGAAGTATGTTGTTATTTTGATATAAATTATGTACACATTTGAGATTGCATAAACGGGCTCTCTGTGAGCTGAAAGTGTTGCAATTCTGTTTCTTATGCAGGAAGGATATTTATGGCGTTTATGCAGAGCCGGTTGATCCTGAAGAAGTAAGTAGCTGCTGTTAGGAGGTGTTCTTTAAATTTTGTGTTGGGTTATGTTTCTGTAAATTAGAGTTTTCGAATCACTTATTTATTCTTGGTTTAGCTTCCGGATTACCATGATATAATAGAGCATCCAATGGACTTCGCAACTGTGAGGAACAAGCTGGGAAATGGATCATATGCAACCTTTGAACAATTTGAGGTGAGTTCGCTCTATGCTCTTTTTCTTCTTCTTGTTGCTCTCTTGTATCTCTCCCTTTCAATTTGTTGCACTTTTCTTTAGTCTGCTGTTGCATATGGGAAGCACGGGTTTGTCGGAAAACTGTTACCAACCATTTGTGGATTTTTCTTGTTTTTGTGTCATGTTGATTATTCCTTCTGCTCTTTGTTCTGTTTCACTATGCTGTTCGTCTCATTGAATCTGTGTGACCTGAGCTTACCTGCACCAATTGAGCTGAAACTGATACCCAATTTTCTATATATTAAGCTTTACGGGTCCTTGTATGGTTTGGTGAAAAGTATTTCATCTTTTAACTGCCAGAGTAGTTTTGGTGATACCGGTTGCTGAAAATTTTGGGGGCCACATGTTTGCTGTAGTGTGTCCCGCTTCTGCAATAAACTAGTGCTTCAAGTAGGAGCTTCACTGTAATCAATTATTTAACCTCGATGAAGTAAACACTATTATATTTCAACTTATAATTGTTTCTCATTTCATATCAATTGGTGTTGTTATCTTTGAAAGGGGAGAATCACAATACGAGATCTACTTTGAAGTTTCAATTTTTCTTCTTCTGTTTGCCTTTATTTTAAGTTGTGATGATGCTTATATGGTGTCATAGTTTTTTGGAACTTTGAGAACTGTGATGTCATAAATGATAGTATTTTGATCTTAGACTGACTTGAAGCAACTACGCCAAATGTACTATTTCAGATATTTTAGCTCTTGTACTAAAATAGTTGTTCTAAAATTTGGCTTTAGCATCCTTTTACCTTACGCCCCCTTATAGCCAACACGAAATTGGATCTAATTAGATCATTCAAACTGAAGTGCAAATTCCTTGTTCCCCCATTTTCTTTCTTGCTGGACGACTTCAGATGTTTTCTTTAACAGTTTTATTTAAAAATCACGCGTTGGATATTGCTTAAGAAATCCAAAATTGATCTTGGAAGGTGTCCTGTTTCCTCTTGCTAAAGGTATGTGAGAGGGGCGCCTCTCCTATTTCATATCGTCAAACGAACAAGGAATAACACTCGGTAGAACCAATCAAGACCTAGGGTTTTTATAATTAGGGCTAAATATCCAATATTGCAACTTAGATCTGGAAGGACCACTGGCCGGCCCATCCCATTTCCAGACTTCCTCTTACTTCTGACTGCTATCTCTTGGTGGGGCTACTGTGGAGGTTACCATTGGATTTTTTTTTAAAAAATTGTTTTGTTGAAAAAAATAATGGACATGTGGGAAAAGTTGTTGTAGGAGAAGAAAAATTATCATTTGGATTTGTGAATGATAGAAGATATAAAGATAATGATTAGAATTAGTTTGGTATGAAAATGATAAAATATTAAACGGTAATTGAATTGTTAGTTCGAAATTTTGAGAATGTTGAGATGGATGTGTGAGCATACTATAAGATGCGAAATGAAAGTATTATAATTAAATTTGGGGTAGCGCCCATAGATGATAAAATGGGAGAATCACGATTAAGATGGTTTGGGCATGTGCGTAGGAGAGACTTCGAGGCCCTGGTAAAAATGGTGGAAACATTAAAATTAAGAACGCAAATTAAAAAGGGAGAGGTAGACCTAAGAAAACTTAGAAGGAAATAATAAAAAATGATGTAAAATAGTTAAATTTGAACGAGGATATGTGTTTTGATCGAGCACGATGGCGACATGTGATCCATATAGCCAATCCCACTTAGTGGGATTTTAACTGCTTCTTGTTGTTGTGTTTGGAGGATTGTAGAGAATATAAAGATGAGATGAAATGAATAGAACTTTTCCAGAAATTGTTTGTTTCCATTCACGACTTTAGTGAAATAAACATTGATTAATCAAACTTTTCTTATATTCAATTACCACCGTAGTGTTTTGCTGCTCTTTCGTTTCTTCTTGTTACTCGGGTGTTCTGTTTTCTTTCTGGCCAGCTGATCACTTTTGTCTTTTTTTTTCTTTTCTTTTCCATTTCCTCACTTCTCATTTCTGTTTCTCTTTTNTTTTATTTTATTTTTGTTTTCTTTTCTTTGTAAAATGTCATGTTTCCGGTTCTAGTGTTATTTTATGTTTCTGTTTCTAATTTTATGTTTGGATATTTGAGGTTCGCTTTTCCATTTGATCTTGAATATGTAATTGCACCATCAATATAATTTTTCGCTTTGTTGCCTTATGTTGGTGAGGCCTCGCAAATCTCCTCGGGGCCATCGATAGGCAAATTGCCTTGGATCGCCATTGGCCATTTAAAACTATGATATCAATGTGTTGTTAAACTTTGTTGTCTTATTACTAATCCTTTTATCTAAATATTTGTTTCATGGTCGTGCAGAGAGATGTTTTTCTCATTTGCTCAAACGCAATGCAATACAATGCACTGGATACCGTATACTACAAACATGTAAAGACCCTTTGCGCTTTCGTTTTCCTTTGTTATGATTTTTGCTCCAACATCTGCTCATCTTTCTACTTGATTTGATAAGGCACGCACCATCCAAGAGCTGGCGAAAAGGAAATTCGAAAAGATAAAATTAAAGATGGAGTGCATGGAAAAAAAAGATTTTAAACCCGAACAGAAATCGAGATCTGCCTCTACTTTGAAGAAGCAGATTAAAAGTCCTATTGGTCGACAGATGGTGCAAGAACCCGTGGGCTCGGATTTCTCTTCGGGGGCCACTCTTGCAACTGCTGGTGATGATCATACTGTCTCAAATGCACTTCAACAACCTGATATTGTTGATGGGCCTGCCGAGGATAATTCATTTGGCAACGATAGCAATTTGGACAAGATGGAAGAATCTTTGCCAGGTATTGTGTCTATTGAATCTTTTNATTTTTTTTTTTTTTTTTTTGAAATTTAAACCACTTGCACCATGACTAGCAGCTGGTTGAGTAAAAACGATACCATTTTAGTGATCAGCATCTTATTATTAGTATTATTATTATTTGTACCTTTGAATTTGGGTAAACCAAATGGATTTTCTCTTTTTAGGAAAGGGTCAAGTTTCTCGAATTGGTAGAAAACCTTTTTTACCTGACGAAAACCGCCGCGCAACATATGCCATATCTCTATCTGAAGCGGTGGTTAGCCCAGACTCGATTTTCTCGACTTTTGATGGAGAAACCAAGCATCTGGTTCCTGTAAGAATAAGAATTCTTATTTACATCTACTTATTATTCCTACCTAGCATTCGTTTCGTTTATATTTTATTTGTTCTCATTTCGACAAATCAGGTAGGGCTGTACGCAGATCATTCTTACGCTAGAAGCCTGGCCCATTTTGCGGCAACCCTGGGGTCCGTTGCCTGGAGAGTTGCTTCAAAGAGGATTGAAGAGGCTCTGCCCCAAGGGTTCAAGTTTGGCCATGGTTGGGTTGGAGAATACGAGCCACTTCCAACTCCCGTGTTAATGCTCAAAAATCGCCCAATAAAAGAACCTCCTTATTTCGCCAAAGTGCAACCCACTGCACATCCTAAGACGTTAGAAAATAGGCCCTCTAATTTGATCTCAGAAAGCCAAACCGCAATGCCATTGTCCGAGCACAAGCTGCCGTGTTTTAACCTTCCCGTGAGCAAAACACCTGCTCCTGTCATAACAGTTCCAACTGTGGGGAATAATATTCCGGAGAAGAAAGCACCTTTCTTCCTATCTCCCGGGGCCCATTTGAATGGTCTTCACAGTCAAAGTTTCCAGTCAAGGGATTTTTCCGGAACCAATAAAAATTCCTTCCCAAAGCACATTGAGTCGAACGGCGTTCCTTGGGTACATAAGAATTCAGCGAACCTCATCAGCAGCAGACAGATTCCCAGAACTTCAGAAACAGAAGCTTCCAGATCTCCAAAAAATAAAAGTTTCCCTCCACCTGAACCTTTTAAACAGCCAGATGCCAGCTGGCCAGTTTCCCAAAGAGTACCCGACAGGAAAATAGCTAACAATTACCAGCTGGATGGAAACACAGCAGTCAGCTATTATCCTCACCATGATCCGGGCCCGGGCCTCAGCGATCCGGCCCAGCAAATGAGACAGCTCTCTGAAAAGGCCCGCCAAAACCACAAGCTTCCAAACCAATCCTCACCCAATGCTCCTCAAATGTTGTCCCAATCCCTCAAGTTTGCAGGTAACGACTCGAACAATGCTGCCTTATCAGCCGCGCGTGCGTGGATGTCAGTGGGGTCGTTCAGACCACCTTCTGAGAACGTGAAAAAGATAAATTCAGGCTCGTTTAATAACTCCACCCCACGTGAAATGCAATCTCAGGCATGGAGATTCCAGGGAGAGAAGAATATTTCGCCGGTTTATGGTTTTGTAGGGCAAGGGCAGATGCCGGTTATGGTGGGAGGAGGCAATCAGATGGTGCAGCTTCAGAACCAGCGTTTGGTTTTCCCACAGCTGGCCGGTTCTGATTTGATGATGCACTCGCCTGCATGGCTGAGGCAGAAGAAGCAGGAGAATTTTCCCCCGGATTTGAATATTGGGTTTCAGTCTTCGGGGTCGCCTGTGCAGCCATCGTCAGGGGTGCTGCTTGATTCTCAGCAGCCAGATTTGGCTCTTCAGCTCTGAGAGACTTGCATTTTAGAGAAAGAAAATGCATGAAAAAAGAAATAAACCAGGAAAAGAGAAGGTGATGTTGTAAGTAAGTGAATCGGCTTCCAGATCACAATCTGGTCTGGTACGAATTGGATTTTGGCTCGACTTAACCTTGGGTTGGATGGTTCGATTTAGTGAAACCGAGCATTTGCATTTGTGAATTTTCCTTTCCAGACATCCTATTATCAGGTTTTGCTAGAGCTGTGAATCAAGACTCATAGCTGGTTTATACCAAAGAGAAGGTAGATAGTTGAGCTTGTAATCACCAGTCCATGTATTTGTTTGTTGTATGTGGTTATTTTTGCGGCTTAGGGTGTCAAGCGGAGCAAGGGTTGCATTTTTGGTACCTGGTTTCATTTGTTCTCAGTTCCTCTTGTTCTCAATTTCTAATGTGTTGCAAGATTACTCAACTTCGTTATTACTGGTTGTTCAGCAGAAGATTGAAAAGAAAAGACAATAGGAAAGAAGATTGAAATAGGGTGAATTTAAAAGATTTCAATGCGACTTCTTAAACTTGGGAAATTTGGCACAAGTCAATAATGATAAATAGGGTGCGAATGCTGTTTAGTGAAAGAAATAAAAATAAATCGTAGTTATTAGATCGGATGATCTAATGGCTAAAAAAAAAATTAAAATTATACTTTCATTAAGGATATTATAGTACACACAACACACTCGCGATCGCCGCCGGTAACACTCAGCAATCGCCCGCCTTCGGTCGCCACATGCCCTCCCACTGCCACACGTCTCAGCCAGATTTATTCTCAGCCGTCGCCGCCCTCCTCCGCCGTCGATCTCGTAAATTGCCGCCTTCGACTGAGATAGAGCCACTGAAATCAAGCTCGCCGGTTGCCGCCGATCTTGACCAAGGTGACAGAAGAACGAGGACACCTGAAACGTAGACCAGTCGACACCGCAGGCCCGCTTTCGGCCACTCCGCCTCGTCAAATCAACTCGCCGTTCGACTCTCCGTCTTTCTCCTCTCACACGCCGACGGCTGGACTAGCCGGCAACATTTGGCGGACGATACAAGCGATCGGTGGGATGTCGTTCAAGTCTAGAAATCTGAGAATATTAAAATTGGGTTGGGTCATTGATTGAGAATTAGTTAATCCATAGGGACCCAATTGCAATTTCGTAACTTTTTAATAAATTTCAATTTAGTGCATGAGTCAATTTTCTAATTTGTCCAAACTTTAATAATCACACATAGTGCATAAACTAAGTTTTTGTTGTTCGAATTTATATGTTTCGATTACATTATTTGATATTATTTTCAATTAAATTATTTAGGTTCGACGTCGAAATTATATTTTTTATATAAAAATATTATTTACGTTCAGCAAAAAAATTTATTTAAGTAAAAAATATTAAAAGTACTAAGTATAATTTTTATAATATAAATAATATTTCATTTTAGGTTTTTTGGTTATTCGATTCAATTTTAATTTTGTTTGAGACAAGAGTTTTATCAATTCAGGCAGCACAAAAATATTACAAAGTAAGAGTGTATTTGTATTTAATTAATTAAATATTAGTTATTAATTAAAAATATAAGATATGATGGGTATGAGCGTATTACTAATTTTTCATTAAAAATATGTCAAAGTAAGGGTTTGTTAGATAGTTCACTTCTTAATTAAATATATTAAATGAAATGAGTATTATTGTACTACTAATTTGCTATGAAAAAATATGACAAAGTAATGATCTTTTAGGCAGTTCATATTTTAATAAAACCATTCGTCCTTTTGTAAGTATAAGATAAGATAAGATCAATCTTCATATGGTTAATTCAAACACGTTTACTAGGAAAATCAATTAAACTCATTTTATTATAACTTCAAATCCCATTTTCAAACCATCAACGGTTACTATGAAAGTACTCCTAAACATTATTGAGCACAAGGAAATAATATATTTTAAATGGATTAGTATCTTGTAGACAAAAATATTTAGGTTCATGTGAAGTAGAGTAATATACATTCAGATAAAGCTTATTGGGGCGTGTGTCTTCAACTCCATGAGGTTGGGCCGTGTCGTGGTATCCAATTACTGCGCATACAAATTCAAATTGCCCATCAGGAACAGTTAAGACGGTGTTATCCAGTTATCCTGGAGTTGAGTGGAGAGCATGGGGGTATTAAATTATAAAGATGATAAAGTAAGGGTATTTTAGGCATTATATATTTTTACAGATTCATTGACTTCCCCCTGGGGCTGGAGGGGACTCTCCTTAAATTACAGACACTCGCTTCGCTTCGTTCGTTGGGTCTCCAAAACCACATATTAAGGGTTCGAATATCTCTTCTCTTGATCCAACTTCTTTCACCAAGAAGTGAGGGCGACCACCTCTTTTTGATCCCCTAGCACTTTCTTACCTGAAAGTTTTGGATACCCATTTTCTTCTACGATTTCACTTCGCTTCGCCAATACTTCTGACTTCACTGCGCTTCGCTTCGTTCGTTGGGTTGAATATTTCTTTTTCATCTTGCTAACGGAAATTGACTTCTTTAGCGCGGCTTCTGCTTCTTTTAATAATTCGTTAACTGCTCGAATAATCTCGCTTTCTTCTTTGTTTTCCTTTAATTCGGAACGGAGATTAAGCATCTAAATTGACTTCCTTTTTTTGAAACGATTTTATACAGACCGCACTCCATTTTTGGTAGTTGTCAAGCAGAGTCTCACAAGTCCTCCAGGGACTTCACTGCACTTCGAAAAGTTTGTATGGTCGAGATCTTTAAACCTTTTCTTCGAAAAGTTGGACTCTCATGTCAATTCGAATGAATCATCCTTTCCACGGAGGCTCGATTACAATGACCAGCTAGGCAAGAGGACAACAAGCTAAACCAGTAATTACGTGGAGTTTTAATTTGCAATTTAGCTTGTTTTTTTTCGAGCTAAAAGCCCCTTTGTTTTATAATAGTATAGATAGATAGATATAGATATAGATAGATAAGGCAAATAGGAGATGTACATAATAGATGAGCATATTTATTAATAAGAAAACCAATCAGGCAAGGGTCGCGTGCACCATAAGAAGACAAAACTAAAACCAATATATAACTTGTCCAACTTGGATTACGATCAAAAATCATTTTTCATCCAACAGTTTCTGATGTGCTCTCGCATCTCTTGGTCTTCCATGATCCTTCGATCCGGAGACCTGCAAAGACACCAGGAGGTGCTTCCGGCATTAAACCTCCGACGATCAAGTCAGTAAAAGATTTATGGAAATTTGTATGGAAAGTGTAATGTAAAGCTTATAGTATAAAGTGTGATTAACTTTTAACTTTTCTAAATTTATCTTACCTATTTATAGGGAGTTATTATCTTCTTCAACTATCTTTGCCCTACCTCGCTGCCCGAAACCTTGCCCGGGTGCGCATATTGCCTGAGCTGCTCGTCATTTACTAGGTTACACGTAGGTCTGCCCGTCAGTTACTTGGCTTGTTTCTAATCCTTCAAATCATCTATCACTTTTGTTTATCACCCTACTCGTGTCCCTTATTAACAGTTGGATTCGACCAACTATGTTGATCTATCTATCACCTGTCCGAGCTATCCACCTGCTATCATGTTCGAGCTGTCATATGACCAAGCTATAAGTACGTCCCTGGTGACGTGTACGAGCTATAACATGTCTTACCTACTTATATATTTAGTCCACGCTATCACATGTTTGAGCTTTGGGAATGTCTAATAAAGTCCGAGCTACACACATATCTCATAAATCTATAAGAAAACATGTCGCATAATTTTAAAATATATGGCTATCAATTTTCAATATTCGATAACTATATATGCGAAATAACCACTGTTCTAAAAATCGGCCTAGGCGGCGCCTAGGCGCTAAGCGGTGCCCGAGCGCCTCCGATTTGTACAAATCGGCAGAAAAAATCGGCCAGGCGGCTAGGCGGCGCCTAAGCGGGCCTAGGCGCTCGTAGGCGGGCTCGGCGGCCAGGCGGTTAGGAGGCGTCTAGGCGGGCGTAGGCGGATCTAGGCGCTCCTAGGCGGGCTCGGCGGCAATTTTTTAGTTTTTTTTTATTTTTTTATTTTTTTAAATACTAATTACATTATTTTGTTCTCATGTTTTCTTTAATATATATTAATATTATTATTTGGACTTTGGTGTGTGATTTTATTATAAGTTGAGATAGTTTTATTTTGTAGGTAGTTAAAATAAATAAAAAATAAGGTATTTAATATTGATTTCTGGGCCCCGACTAGGCGCCGCCTAGGCCCCGACTAGGCGCTCTAGGCGCTAGGCGCTGGTCGAGCGCCTAGCGGGCGCCTAGCAACTTTTAGAACACTTGAAATAACTTTGCATATCGAAAAATATTATGCAGTTGATTTTTATATGTGATTTACAACATATGCGGCAGTATTTCGGGTGGATTTTTATATGTGATTTACAATATATGCGGAAGTATCATGTATAAATTTTAACTATCTATCCGATTTAGATATGTGTTGATATATATGTGATAATATTTCGTATAATTGTTAATTATGCGGTTCATTTGGATATGCGAGTTTTATATACCACATCATTTCGTGAGTTTTGGGATTAAAGAGATGTATTTTATGGGACAATGTATAAAAAAATGATAATGTATATATAGTGGTGTAAAAGAAATTTACCCTTTATTAATTGTATGAACATTTAATTATAATACTTTAATCTCACATCCCTGCACAATATCGTCTATATATAAATATATATATCATTTTTCTGAAAAATAAAAATAAAATAAATAAATAATGATGCATATCGTNGAAATACAAAATCACAAATATCAACCAACATTGAGGCAAACACACACTGAAACAACAATGAATGAATAATGAGTCTTAAGGAATAAACTTATACGCTCTCATCTTCTTGATACAATTGAGAAACGACTTGGTGGTGTCCCTGAAGCCCAGAAACCCAAACTCCTTATTCTTGTTCATGCTGGATAGTGTCTCCTTATTCCTAAACACGACATCTACGAACCAGAAGGCCGCTATCTCCCTCAGCCTCGTGGGCACCAACCCCTTCTCCCTCACGATCTCGTCCCACACCTTGTCCTTGCCTTTCATCACGTCCTCCAACAAAACCGGCTCTTTCCCCTCCTCGTACTCCACCGCCTCCAAATCGAACTCTTTGCCAGCACGCCCCACATATGCCTCCACTTGAACACGTCCCCGTTGTTCACGTTGAACGCTTGGTTCTTCGCCTCGGGACGCGTCGCGGCCCACACAAAGTGCTCGGCCAGCAGCTCCGAGTCGACAGCGTCCGTTACGCACGTCCACGACTCGCGTGTCCCCGTGTACACGAGCGGCCTCCCCTCGTGCTTGCAGATGGCCGCGTACACGCACAGCGTGCTCGCCATGTTCATCGTACTGCACGAGGAGAAGCCGAAGATGAGCGCCGGCCGGTGGATCGACCACGTCAGCGTGCCGTTGCTTTTCTTCAGGGCCGTCTCGTACACCATGTCCTCGAGGTCGTGATAGAAGTTGTCCTGCTTAAGCCTCGGGAGGCTCTCGTAGTAGGGGCAGTCGTGGGGCTCGTTCGTGTTTTGGAGGTCGTAATAGAAGTTGCCCAAGTAGTACTTGATCCCTGTCTGGAGGGCGAGGTGGTTGAGGTTGGGGGAGTTGGGGACGACCGAGTCGAGAATGTTCCAGAACATTAAGGCGTTGAGGTGGCAGTCCTCGGAGCCCGTCCACGAGACGTAGAAGACGTGGGTGATGTCGGTGAGAGGGGAGAGCTTGGAGCGGGTTTCGTCCGTGTTGGTGACGTCGCACTGGACGTAGACCACGTTGAGGGTGGTGAGCCAATCGGGGCATGGCCGGCGCCCGACTCCATAGACCTTCCAGGGGCCGCCAGGGGTGTTGACGTATGATAGGGTCTCCGCAAGGGCACTGCCAGCGATGCCTGTCACACCCACAATCAGGGCCACGCTCTGGTAGCTCCGCGGCCCGTTTGTTTCCGCTTTTTTTCTGAGATGATAATATCATTACAATTTTTTGAGATTTGCCCACAATTAATCATCATATACTTGAAATTATTAATGTTTATTAATCAACGTTTCATCCCTCAAACATCAAAATATTGATCAAACCAGACTATTACTATCTTAATCTTTCAACCAGGGGCATAGCCAGAATTTTTTTTACCTTTGCTACAATAAATGCAAACCGAATGTTCGATAACTAGGCATGCAAAAGCTCGACTCGTTAAATAAAAGAGTCTGAAATCAAGCTCGAGCTCAGTTCGGGTATCACTAATAACAAGTCGAGTCGAGCCTTAACGAGCCGAACTACATAAAATAAAATAAAAATTCTATTTTCTCTCAAGAGTAAGTTCCTAATAAGAGCTAGCATCTGCTGCTGTAGTTTGAGCGGCAAATTTCGAGCCGAACAAGCCCGTTATGTAAACGAGTTTTAAATGAGCACGAGCTCGACTCGTTTATCAAATGAGCTCGAAATGACAACTCATTTATTATACGAGTTGTCATGACAACTCGTTTATTAAATGCACACTAATTTGAATATGAAGTACTTAAGTCGAATAATCTAGCTAGACATAAATATAAAAAATTAAAAGTATGAAAACAATTTTGAAGTATTAATATAATTACATGAATATTAAAATATAGATATTGTATTTGTAGAATAATAATCAGTTATATGGACCTCCTAAAAGAACTTGTGAATTATATTAACTACTCTTTTATACATATAACAAATCATATACTTGAATTTTAATTAGAAAAAAATAATATATTTATTAAAATGACCGCTATATATGAGATCGCTTTATTCTTGTTGTATGACATGTCTTTCAAGGTTCATCTATAATTTCATTGAATATGTCAGCATAAATAAATGAGACTTGACATTAAATTTTTTATATATTGAAGTACCATTTATTTGAAAAATCATAAAAATATATAACTAAATTGTAAAATCAATAAATTCAATCGCATGCTAAATATTTTAATGGAAGTTTAATACAAAAAATTATTGTCTCGAATAAAATTATACAAATAAATTTTATTTAATTAAACAACATAATGTAAACACAAAAAGAAGACAGAAAACGACATAATGAGCTAAAAGGAAAAGCCAGAAGAGACTTGAACAATTTTCAAATTTATAATTTATGGATTTAATTTAAAATAAATATAATTTATTTTGTGCCAAAATAAGATTAATCAGTAGCTAGTTTAATATAACATGGGTTAAAATATTTTTTACTAGTATACATTTGTATGTATCGAAAAATTAAGACCGGACTAAAACCCATCCTAGCTTTTGGAGTGGCTCCAGCTATATATATTATAATAATGTAAGATAAGCGCAATGCACTGACAACATAACATGGAAGAACCTGTCCTATGTCACCAGTGGACCTTCTGTACCACCAGCTCAATGTATCAGTGTACATTTTGGTTTAGGAAAAATTGGAAAAAAAGTATAGTTGACAATATAGTTTTTGGATGGTTCAACACTTGATAGATTGATGGGACTGATGGATGGGACGTATACATATAGTGTGCTCGAACATCTGTGACAAAGACAGGAAAGCAACAAGGTTGATACATTTATTTTTGTCGTCTTGTTATCAAAACGACGAAAAGTACTTAAATATATTCATATAGTCTTGAAAGGCGACGACGTCACCTCACTGGGTCGCCTAAGTGTACCCTTTGTGGGCCACATGACGAATCAATCCTACACTGTCTACGAGATTGTGTGAGTGCAAAGCAGGTTTGGCAACGCTTGATCCCTTCCAAACATCATTCTAAGTTCTTTCACATGCATCTACAGGACTGGTTGATCCAAAACCTGCAAAATGGGCTGTCCATTGGAGTCGTCGACTGGGAAATTGTTTTTGGTGTTGTGGCAAATCTGGAGGGGAAGAAATGAAAAGATTTTCTCAGAAAAAGAGTTCGTTGTGGCTAATAAAATTCGGGAGGTTCGCTCATTTGTTCGAGGGATCAAACTAGTCACATCGGTCGATAAACACTTGGGCAGGCTCGATACAGAACGCCAGCTTCATTTCATTCGTTGGGAATCCCCTGGGGTTGGAGTTGTTAAAATCAATACGGACGGGTCCCTTTTGACATCGTCTGGAATGGCGTCGGCCGGGGGCTTGATTCGGGATACCAACGGGAGATGGCTTGGGGGATTTGTGATGAATATCGGCTTTTGTTCTATCACAGGAACCGAGTTGTGGGGCCTATTCCAAGGCCTGTTATTCGCTTGGACCTGGGTTATAGAAAGATTCTTGTCGACGTAGACAATAAGAGCGTGGTCTCAATGGCGAATGGAGATTCCTCAGAGAATTTTGGAGTGCATGGCAGCATGGTTCGGGCCATCAGGGAGTTGCTTAACCGAGACTGGACGGCTAGAGTGACCCATTGTTATAGAGAAGCTAACTTCGCAGCTGACTGTTTGGCGACTCTAGCACATCAATACCCTAGTGGTTGCCAACGTTTCTTAGACCCACCATCGGTAGTTAAACCGTGGATACAGCATGATCTCATTGACATCGCTTATCCGCGGAACATAATTACCTGAGGGTCCTAGCTTTTGCCTCCTATCATTGTACCAAAAAAAAAAAAATAGAGCTTAGGCTTTGTCCCACATAAAATAAAATAATTAAAAAAATATGATTTCTGATACACGAGGTGCGCGTGCACCATCTCTTGAGCTGTACTATGATTTGTTAAAACAAGTCGCGGGCCCGCGATGCATTTAATTGGTGTGAATGCGGTTTTGAAAAAATTGGTGGCCACGAGGCCCACCATCGGCCATCCTGCTGCATGTGCAATGTTTTTTTTTTTTTTTAATATTTTTTTTTTATATTTAAGTGAATAAAAAATAATTAATTCAAATAGAATCATAAGAACATTATAACATTTTTTGTTTGCCTTATAAGCAAACCATCATTCCTGCAAATTAATATTCTATGTCTTTTTG